AAATTCAAGTATAGTTTGAAAGAGACGACAAAAACTGAATAATGGCCGAAGTAAGAAAAAAATCGCCTTCACAGACGTCATTTTCTCTCTTAGGTGCGACCGAATAGTTGAGACGATTGATAATAGCCCCAGGACGTAGGCGATCATGTCTCTCCACAGCTTCTTCTCCTTCGTAACTTAATAAATTTTGTCTTTTTGTTATTTCTCCTAAACCCTGTTTCGCATTCTATTTACTCAAGCTCTCAAAGTATTTTATACGTTGTTTTCCTCTGTCCTTCTTGCCTTCAATCTGTCCCGTGAGTATCAGATTTTCCAAGCCCTCTTTCCTCATTATGTGCACCAGAAACCCCAACTGTCTCTTCCTCTTCTCTTCTTTCGTCATTGTTCACAGGTTCTGTCCATGTTATCCTCAGCATCCTTCTGCAGAATCACATTTCTTTGGTTCAATCTTTTTTTAATCTTTGAGGAGATTGTCCAGCATTCGCTGCCATATCAGAGGAGAGATATTACTTAACAGTTTAGTAATTTTTTCCTTGTTTCGAAGTTTGTCTATTTCTTATTACTCTGCTTAGCTTTTGGAAGGCATTTTGGCTATCCGAATACACCTTCGGCTTTCAGTGTCACACTTCCCGTCCTCTGTTAAAACGCTTCTCAGAGATTCAAATTTCCGCACTTGTATTTTGGTATCTCCGATTTGCAATTCACACTTTGGGATCATCGTTTTGCTAACAACTATGCATTCTGTCTTCTTACAGTTGATATCTGTGGGGACTTCTATATTCACCCCAAAGATTGGTACGTCCAATTGAATAAAATCGATGAAGAAGGCGGATAAGGCATAGTGTTCTCCATCACCGACAAACTGACATAGATCATTGAAGAAACCACCCGTCCCGGGGCAACAGGTCATTACGCAAACCCCTTTGACCTCTTTCTCACATCCTGCCCCGAAAAATGATTCGCTGAAGCGTACGTACTCACCGCCCCATAGGCACTTTAGACCTTGCACTAGCCAGTGTCCTAGTCGATGCAAGACCAGAAGCATACCCTGATGTGCCGTTCCATCGAACGATTTTTCGGTACACGGAAGCCGACTGTGACAGCTTCAGATCCCACATATATATGATATGGGCGTAAGCCATACCCTTCACGCATTCGATCTTACAGCACAAGCAGTCATCTGGGTAGTGTTTAGATTCAACGTTGCTTAACTTTGGTAATCATACGGGTGTTTCAATGTGGTATGTCCGTGAGTCATGCCACCCGCACATCCAAGCTTACAGCCCCTGATATTTCCAAGCTGTCATCCATCTAGGGCCGACGTTGCTTAACTTCAATGATCATACGATGGCCGGTCTTTCAACGTGATATGACCGTAAGCGATACCACCCGCGCATCCAATCTTACTGCACTTGTTATTCCCAAGCGGTCACCCATCAGGCTAGTGTCCAGGTTAGACGTTACTTAACTTCGGTGATCGTACGTACGATGACCGGTGTTTCAATGTGATCTGACTATAAGCCATGCCACACGTACATCAAATCTTAGAGCAATTGCTATTCCCAAGCGGTCACCATACTATAGTTTCCATGTTCGACGTTGCTTAACTTCGGTGATTGTATGATGAATGGTGTTTCTACCTGGTATGGCTTACAGCCATACCATCCGCACATCCAATCTTACAGCACTTGTTATTTCCAAGCAATTACCAATCTGAGTAGGATATCTACCAACCGTCCCACGCGGTCAGATGTGGCACAAGGCCGAATTTAATGTGGGGTATCCGAGCCCGTCGACTCGGCCAAAAATTCCCCGTAGAACCCGCATAAAACGGGTCGGGCTGCTGTTTCCCGAGACGAGACTCTTCCCTTCGATATAGCCTCGTCTGGGGATCCTCTCTGTCCGGAGGCAGAGAGTTTGACCAGCACAGCTGGAGACGAATCTCCATCTGAGTAGTGTCCAGGACCGGTGTTTCAACATGGTATGGCCGTAAGCAGTTAAGAAAGCAGAAACAGAAGTCGTGGAAGAAAGTTTCAAAGATGTAGAAAAGAACAGAAAGAAGGAAGAAAATTATAAAGAGGCGGGAAAGGTAACGAAGAGGGAAAAGAAAATGGAGAAGAAAAAGAGGAGGAGAAAAAAAAAATGAATTGAAAATTTTCAAATTTTTCTTTGGCTTTAATTAATTAGTGTTTGAAGGCTCTTCAATTCCAAATGGCTATGCTTTTTGGCAGGACTGCCATTCTTTTCGAATACGTCAAATGAATACAGCAGTAACAATGGTATTATTCTTCACACGCACAACCGCTTTGAGTTTAATGCCGGTTGTTTGTTTTCTATCGTTTCTTTAGCATTATTTACTAATATCTTTTTTTTTAATTAGTGTTGTTCATCAATATATTAATGTCCTACCGTAAAGAAACAGGTTTATACCAATATATATAACACCTACAATTGACCATCTACAAGCTATATATTTATAAAACATACATTGGCTGAAAGATGTAAAGTGGCAGGTATGCACAAAATTTCCATAAAACTGCGTTCGAAATGTTCAGAGTTTGGCATTAAATAAGCCATAGAGAATGATATGCTTTGAATCCAAAACAAATTAATATATTCAAATGTCCTCATACAAAGAAATATTTGAAATACTTGATTGGTTGATTTTTTTTTTGTCAACAATCTTTTAATTCAAATTTTGCAGGAGGGATGGGAGGATACAGCTGAATAATAGAAATTTTATTCTGATTTCATAATTGAATAAACGCAACTTTTGTAAAAAACCGCGACTTTTTTGAGTTTACAGGAGGTCCTCGATGCCGGTTTTTTTGTTTTTGTATCAGGTTCCAAGGCATTTTTCGTCTTTCTTTATGACATCGTAGTTTAAAAACTCAATTTTAAATATTTACTAATATCTTTTGTTTTATGCTAACTGTTCAAGAAGCTCTGTTTTAAATTGTCAACTTGGTTTTCGTATTTATTTATTTAATGTTTTAATGTTGATGCTCATCTACGTAATATAAATTCGAACACTTTAAAAGTTTGTTTTGCCTTTTTTTTTATTATTAATGTCCTATCCGAATTTAAAGAAACAGCAGTTTATACCAAAATATATAACATAATTACTCATCTGAGAAATGTACAATTGCAAAACCATCTACAAAAAGCTATATATTTATAAAATTGTTGAAAATAAATAACTAATTTACCATGAAAGTGTAAAATTATCCGGTCTCTTGATTCACTCTCTTTCTCTCCCCATTCTATCTTCCTTTCTCTTTTCTATCCATCCTTTTCTTTTCTCTCTCCCTCCCTATCGCTCTTTCTCTATTTCTCTCCCTCCATCTCTCTCTATTTCCCTCTCTCATCGTTCTCTCCATTCCCTCTCTCTATCTTCCTATCTCTCTATGCATCTCTCTTTTGCCTCACTATTTCTCTTCCCTCTGTTTCTCTATTTCTCTTTCTTCTCTCTTCCTCTCCCGTTCTCTCTTTTCTCTTTCTCTCTCTCTCTCTCTTTCTCTCTAAGTTCTGGTCTTTTTTAAATGGTCGATATTGACCCTTCGTATATGTGATCTTTCTTTTTAAGTTCTGGTCTTTTTAAAGGACCCTCAAGCGTATATGTGACTTTTTCAGAAGGTGGAGTCGAAAACAACTAGGGGGTCGATTGGAGATTGATTGAGCTTTGAGATCGAAATGAGGAATCATAATAATCTGGAAAATATGAATGCCGGCTTTAATTTAATTACACATTTGAAAACCTTCATCTGAGACAGATTCTCTTCAGGCCACCATCAGGAACTCAATCAAAACTCACTAATTCGAAAGCAAATATTAACGCTTTTCCCATCAGCTAGATAGATATAGAAGATCGTAACTTCATTTAAATAAGCAACAAAAATGGAAGCACATGACATATAGCAAGAAGAAAAAAAAAACAGGTAGAGCAAAAAGTTGGTTCCTAATTCATAACAATATCAGAAGGAAATGGTAATGGTAACAGTAATATCAGCCGTTTCCTTGACCGAAGCGTGGATTGCCTCTCTCTTTTCTATAAATATTTTCATGACAATTGTTTTAATAATCTCTCCTTCTTAGTACTTCGGCTGCATGAATTTAATTCTACTACTACTACTACTACGGGGTGTCAAGAAATGAAATTTTCAATTTTATTGAATTGTAATATTGACAAATAACATCTGCAATAAGATTTCCATCAATTTTGGTGCAAAGGTTGATGCGCTTTGCAAGATTCACATGAACTCGATGCAATAACTCCGCATTGCAGTCAATTTTAGTACATTCACTCTATATGCGTTCAATTAAATGTGTTGCATCTGTGATTTTCATTGAGTACACCTTCTCTTTTAGTATAGTCTAGAAAAAAGAAGCCATTTCTTTCTTCTTTCGACAAAACCATGTTTAATCTGTGGAGGTAAAAATAAATATATTGTTAATGAGATTTCCTACGTGTCCAGGCTTTAGGGACAACCTATAGATTGGCTACAAGGTGCCAACGTTTTACTGTTGAAATAGTTACATCATAACCGTAGGTTCTATTCTAATAGTTTATTTTCTCGCACTTCTCACCTGTGGAACTCTCTTCCGATTTCTTTCTTCCCTGGCATCTTCCGACCTGTCGACTGGGACTTCAGAATATGTTGACGTCACCTCTGCAGATTGGTACCCGCTTCCCATCGATGAGGCAACCTGGGGACGGGATTCTGGTGGTTGAGGACTTCAAGAGGCAGGTTTAGACACTTCTAATTCCCAAAACACCAATTTAGTATTTAGACGGGCAGTCGGAGTGACCCAATCCAATTAATCGTATGATCATGTCAAGCCCTTATTTTGTTTCTCTCGAATCAGGAGGCCATGGCTTTAGGGTCAAACATAACGAAGAAGGAACGATGATAACTTAATACCCCTGGATTCGTAGCAATCTTGGGTACTAAAGCTCAGGGATTTTAAAAAAAATAGTCCCTTCCTCAGTGTGAGTATACTGACTGGGCAGCCCTGGTAGGCGGAGGCAAATGGTTTTCCCCACTTGGCACATCTCTGTGTAGAGCTTCGTGGCTGGTGAGGAGCCCGGCCAATGGACGCCAAATAATATGGCTAATTAAAACAAAAAAACAAAAAAAGAACTCCCTAGCTAATGCACACAGGAACAATCGGATGAAGAGAGAGTATAATTCCTAAGATTCATAATCTTGGAATCTGAAGAAGAGACTCCACTCACGAAACTCTCCCCGAAAAGTAATACAGAATGTCTCAAAAATACATTTACTTGGGGGGGGGCGTATTCCTCACACGAAAACAAGAACAAAAGTTCCTATATATCCTTCGTTTTTAAATTTAAAGAAAGTTTACGGTAGATGGCGCTGTGTTGCCATGTATACTAGGTTACATTTGTCATTCTTGTATATCTGTCTTCAACATTAACATGTGTAGTAGTAAGTTAACTGAGAAGTGTTTCGTTTAACAATGGCAGAGAGCAGTGGTTCGCGGGAAGAACTGTTTGAGTGGAATTTACTTCTCGCCGATGGAAGACAAAGGAAATGTTGGTGGTTTACCACGATGTAAGTAGCGTGTAAACGGCGCATTCTTCCTGTGAAGGTTTGCCTCGGTGGGACCAGGGAATGTAGTTCATATACTCCCTGTTGTTTAATACTGACTCTTATTATATCGATGATACCGTGTTTTTTTGTGAGGGGGGGGGTAATTCGGCTTTTATTTCTTCCATGGGCAGTTGGTCACCTTTCTGCCTATTATGGCCCCTTGGGGTGTTGAATTTTTTGTGGGGGAAGGCCTTGATCTACATGGAATTTTTTCATCTTCAGAAATGTGTCAGCGTTTCTTCAACAAGTAGTGGTCCGTTTTTTAGGCTTTTACAATGATTGACATTACTTGGAATATACAGAGTATATAAAAAATACTTTTACAAACATTGGGGGTGGGTTCCGCTCACAAGATCAAGGACAAAAGTCCATATAAACATATATCCACAAATCCTTCCTTTTTGAGTTAATAATTTTAAAGTTTACTGTAGACGCTGTTAAATGGGTAATCGATCTTCCTCGGTCCATAGTTTGTGGTGCCACGGATCCTGTCTCAGTAACGCGACGATAAACAGCAGCAAAGGTTGGATGACTCGGTTGCCTTGGGCCTGGAAACGCAATCTGATACGGCCGTGCAGCCATGCATCCATTACTATTCAAGCGACCATATGTAAAAATCGTATCTCATACTCACAATATGAATATACTGCCATTGTTAAACGGAACACTTGATGCAACTGGATCCAAATGATTGGCCCAAATTTATAAAAGAAATTAATCCTAACTTGAACAATAAAAGCGAAACTAATTTAAAAGAACAATTACTAGTCAGAAATCCTTCTAAAGATACAAAAAAAATCCCAATAAAGATTAATGCTACTGAACAGAGTTTATAAAGATCTTCAAACTGTTGTCGATCCCCCTGAACAGAATAACCATCATCCAGGATCTCAAGAGAGTGATCCACTAAAGAAACCAAAACAAACAGCATAAAAGAACACAAAGACTCCAAAAACACAGATCAAATTGAAACAGCAAATCGATTTCATTCATTAGACGAAATGGAAATAGAAGAAAGACCATGCACCACCACCACCAACAACAAAACAAAACTAAAAAAAGGTAAATGCCACAAATTAAGAACCCACTTAAACCATCGGCCGACATCCCTAAAGATCCGAAAACAAATTAACAGGTGCTAAAGTTAATTTTAATAAATTAACACGACTGACGACAACTTATAGTCCAGTATTAAAATGTCTACAGAAAACCCATCTGAAGGAAACAGATAATGTTAAATACTACACAACATACAAGTATATAAACTAACATAATTACAGAGCATCAGGTGGCACATCAATAATTACCAACGACAATATCCTGCATAGTGAATACAAACTGAAATTGGACCGGCTGCCCGAATAAATTATGCAACATCAAACCGGCTTTAAAAGAATGGCATCAAAACTAAAAACAAGGGAAGATGAAGAAATAATGTTCAGACTTGGATTCTCCACGATAACAAACTCTTACATTCTAAGACAAGACATTCTAAGACAAGACATTCTAAGACAATTTGTACAGTATGCCAGGAACTATTAACAATAACATGCATACTAAGAAATTGTAGTGACTTCAACCAAATTCGTTCAGAATTCTACCGAACAATCAACATGAAAGAACTCTTTCGTGACATAAATCTATATAATATCCTACAATTTCTTAAAGAAATCAAACTGTATTCCAAAATATAACTTCAACAAAACTACAACATAAAACATACATATCGCCACCTCTTGTAATTATGTTCAGACAAACATGTATATGCACAAAAATACCAATAAAACATTTTTCTACAAAAATAATTACCAGCAATATATATTTATAGTAAAATGACCAATAATACTTTTTATAACAGAATGACCAACAATACATTTTAAAATAGAATTACTAACAATACCTATTTATATTAGAATTACCAACAATGTATTTTATAGCAAAATGACTAACAACGTATTTTATCTGTAGTTGAAGGCATACAATTACATTGAAAATATATTTATTTGAAGCCATAAAATTGTGTTCAAAATATTTAGGTTCCGGCTTTAAATAACCTTTAGAGGTCGATATGCCGCTAAACAAAATCAACAAAACAACTAACATAAAAGAACTCTTTCATGACATTAATCCATATAATATCATACAAAATACTTAAAGAAATCAAACTGTATTCCAAAATATAATTTCAGCAAAACCACAACATAAAATACATATATCACCGCCTATTTAAATGTGAAAACAGAATAATATATATCAAACTTTTATTATTTCAAAGATACCAAAATGTAAATGTCTGCATTAAATGACCCATAATGAGTTGATATGCCGTTAAACAGGCAAATCCAATGCAACTTACAAACTTCAAGAATTTAGATACAACCTCAATCGCCATCTGTCTTCCTGAAACCTGTTCCTTCTTCTCACTACAGTCTCCTCTTTCACTGCCAGTAACCCATTACGTCTTAGTGGTTTTATTTCCTTGCTTGGGGTGAAATGATTAAAAACAAGAAATTCGAGCGTTTAAAGAAATTTAAATAAAACTATGTTTTCCAACATTTATTTCTGCATATATCCGGATGCTATTTATTTTTGATAGTGTTGTCTCGATGCTATTTATTTTTGATAATGATGTCCATACTAATGTATTTCTAACATCTATATGTATAGAAACGGTAATATTAGCTGTTTTGCTTATGACGAAACATTCGATATTTATTGACCGTGCAGAAAGTGCTTCTAGAGTTAAGCATCTCTTCACTCTCTTGCCATCGGACTGGGATCAAAGTGTAGTATATGTTCTCCTCATCTCTAATGGTTATGGTAATATTAGCCGTTTCCTGATAATAAAATAAAATAAAATAAAAACATTCGTCAGTCATCGACCGTGCTACTCAAGTTATGCTTTTCTTCACTGCCTGGGTATCGGGTTGGGATCAAAGTGTAGTATCTGTTCTCCTCGTTTCTAATGCTAATGGTAATATTAGCCATTTCCTTATAAGGAAACCTTTGGCATTCATCGACCGAGCTGCCAAGGCTACTCAAGTTACGCTTTTCTTCACTCCTTGGCCATCAGACTGGAATTAAAGTGTAAAATCTGTTCCCTCATCTCTAATGCTAATAATATTAGCCGTTTCCTTATTAGGAAACTTTCAGCATTCCTTGACCAAGCCATCAGTGTTTCTAATGATACCCTTTTCTGCATGGGGCTGGGATCAAACTGTAGTATCTGTTCTCATCTCCAATGGTAATGTTAGCTTTTTCCTTATAAGGAAACATTCAGCAGTTATTGACCGACCAGCCCATGACGACTGAAATATTATAAAATCTTTCTCTTAAAAAGAATATTTCAAGAAATTAGGTTTTTCAAGTCCAGTAGCTGTTATTGCTCTTTCCAGTACTGATGGGAGTTTCCTTCTTAATCTTTTGTTTGAAGTTGTGTCGAATGTCAATGTCTTGTGTCATTATATTTTCTTCGGGTTATATATACTCTTATATATGGTATCACTGCTCTTGAAAGTCCTCAGGTGATACGGTTTCTGTTATTTGATTCAGTTGTTTATTTGCGATTCTGTAGCGCCAGTCCATGCGATTTGAAGCAAGATGTTCCTTGCCAAGACCTACCTACCTTGTGCTTCATTCACTGGAAGCAAATTTTAACCATTGTTCTAAGATTGATTGATTGATTCGTTTTCTACAGCTTACCAACCCTGGTAAACCTGGTAATAATTCCTGGTTTTAAATAACCCGCAAACGGTTATTTAAAACCATGGGATGGGAGATAATAATGGTTTACCGATACAAACCTTACTAATTAACCTATAGCTGGAGGGGAGAGAAGGTAGCGTCATACCTATCCCAAGAGTAATTGGGTGCAAGTGAATATAACGAACCCAACGGAAATTACAACACGGCTATCCAATTAATAATTCCAAGTCATTATCCATTGCACCACCTGCATATCCTTAAGCGGTCACCCATCTAGGTACTGACTAGGTTCGGCATTGCTTAACTTCGGGGATTTTACGGGAAGCGGTGTTTTAACGTAATGCGGCCGTAAGGCTCATTGTCCTTAGATAGGGGTCATATACAGCAGACAGTTCAGATATTTCTGAAGGGGTTTCGGTGCCATGTATGGCATCTATCGTAGCCCTTCACGACCCCCCTCCACATGACCAAAGGCTAACGGTATGTCTTCATGACCTTGATCTTTTCTTCATTGCGTTGCCACACACCCTTCAATTTAAGTTCATTTAGTTTTATGATAAGCCTAATGACTTCTTAGTTCTTTCAGTGTTATGAACCTAGTCGAAATACACTGTGTGAATATTTTTATACAGGTGTCCATAAAGTTCGTGTGCACTTTAAAAAATTTTTAATTTTATTTGTATTAGCGATAGAAATAATCTTTAAAAATATTATAAAGTTTAATGTACCTAGT